TACCAAAAAGTATGCTTGGGAAACTCCAAAAATGTGCTTGCACAGCAACAGTGCCCGTGGCATCCCAGCCAGGTCCCCTGCAGACAATCCCTCTGGGCAGTGTCAGTTCCTCTTAGCAGCCATGACAAAGAGCTCAAGTGTAGTGAATGTGCAATGTGGCTGGCTCTCTGACACCATCAATTAAGAGGCATCAGTGCCATTGTATTTGTTGATGAATATCACTTTCAGGAAAACATTGGACTCTTTTTATAAACAAGCAGTGTCTCACTAACAAGTTCTGGCCATCATGACACCAGAAAGAATCTTGGCTTACTTCTTTGCTTTTAGGACATTTGTCAACTTCTTGTCTCTTTTTAAAACCCCAATGTTACTGGTTAGGCAGCCACTAAAATAAACCCACCCTCTTTTCAATGTACTTCCCTTACTTTTCCCTAAGGTGAACTCTCTGTAAACCTAAAAACATATGGTAACATACAAGGTTTTTCAAAGTGCAAAATATGTTACAGATAGTTTCTTAAGTTTCATTTAAACACCAGACTTTATACAATACAGTACAGTTTGAGATTTCTGCTCATAAATTACACCATTTAATAGACCTCTTTAAAAGGGTGGACCGCTTAAAGCAACCCCAAGTCTCTCTTAACCAGGTTAATATAATTAAACTTTACAAACTTTGTTCAAACCAAAATAAAGCTCATCTTACACTTTATCACATATATACATATTTTAAAATGTTCATTAAATGTGGAAGTATAGATAGTCAAGTTCCTTTATTACAGACAGACACGTTTGCGTCCAGGTAGACACATCTTCATGTATTATCTTACAGTTTGGTTTCTGGTTTACGCACAAACAGCATATACAATGTTAAAATAGTAACTGGGGAGGGGTAGTTTATTTTCTTTCTTTCTGCAAAGTCTGTTCATCTTGCGACTCTTTTGTAAGGGTTCTTGACCGTTGTAGAACCACATTGAGTTCTTCGATGACCTTTGATGGTAACTTATGTTCAGAGTCCAAAGTAGCTTTGCTATTCCTGTCCTCAGTCCTCCTCAAAGTCTTTAGGCCTTTCAGACCTTTTTGTTGCCCAGGTGGGACCTCAGGCTCTGTGTCCTCCAGACAGTTGAAACTCCGATGCTTTCGGTTTCGACTTCGAAGTCTATCGTCCTTGTGCTCCAGACACTGGGCCACCATGGAGGCTCTCTCCTTTAAACTCGAGTCCACAGACACTCTGTCATGCTTTGCACTGAGCCGCAGCCTTTCAAGTTCTGCTCTTGCACTCTAAAAATAAAATTAAATGTCTCACAGGAAAGCAAGATTTGGCACTATTTAAGTTTAAAAAATGTTTCCCACATGAAAGCTGATGCCTCCTACAAAGGAATGCATTTCTATGGTGTAGGCTCAAACTTTACTTTGATAACCACTGGCATGTCTGAATTTATATCCCAATCTTAGGGCTACAACATAAAGTAAGGACAGTCCCAATGTATAATGGATTGGCTTAGGATTCTTTGACTTTACGACAGTGCAAAAGCAATTTAGCAGAAACCAACTTCAATTTCGAATGCTGATCTCCTCCCAGACTAGTTGGGGGGTGGCAGGAAGTTCTCTTGCCATGCTGGTCGGGGCAGTGAGTCTCAGCTCCCTGTCAGCCATGTGACTGCGGGACACACGACCCACCCTCACACTGTATCGTGTGGCCAGATGGGTCTGCCCAGCTGTGGGCTAATGCAGTGTGCTTTGAGTATTTAAGGTAGGCTAAACTAAGTTATGATTTCGGTTAGGTTTATTGAATGCATTTTCAATTTGTGATATTTTTAACTAAATGGCAGTTTTACCGCTTGTAACCCCATCAGAAGTTGAGGAGCATCCGTAAAATATAATCCACGGAAATTCATTTTAATGCACAATTAACACACCACTTCAAAGACGTCTTACAGGTTATTCCAACGGACTCTCACATTAAACTTGCTTCACTTGCTCCCTTCTGCTTGGGTACGTGAGCTGCGGGTGTATCTGTAGTTCCTATGATATACTGTACCCACATCACTGAAGTGACCCGGAGCCGGGGGAATGCTCTGTGCCAAAATGCTCTGTGGTACAGCCCCTTCCACAATCACAATACATTTAAACATATTAAATGTAGAGAGGCTGAGAAGCCTTACAGCAGAGAGATCTATGTAACAACTTTTTCCTGTTTTTTTCTTTTTTCTCCTCCTAATATATTTGACTAATGAAACCTTTTCCTTTACAAAATGCCTATTACCAGGTATATTTCTTAAAACACTGAAATCTTTATATACTTGTGTATGAAAACCCACTTTTGTGTGTATGGATTAGAGTTCATGCTTGTTCAGTGAACTGTAAAAAGTGCCTTGCAATAGGACACCAGCCGCAGTAGAGAAGTCGACTTCTTATACTGTCACACAGGACATCTGTGATAGGACCGCTACTGTACACAGCTGTTCTCAGGTTCTCAAAGGCTGCTCTAACTCAGTCAAGTCTGAGATACAAGAACAAACACCAGAGAACCAAGCATGTGGGGGACAGACAGGGGACACCAGAGAAACAAGCGTGTGGGGGACAGACAGGGGAACACCAGAGAACCAAGCGTGTGGGGGACAGACAGGGGAACACCAGAGAACCAAGCGTGTGGGGGACAGA